AACAGTTGCCTAGGGCTGGACAACCAATCAGGGTGAGTCCTTTCCTCTCTCACACAAACACTCCAAGTAGATCACAAAGGAATCAGTGTTCATCAGAACCAAAATGAGGAACCAAACGTCTATCTGCCGAGGCTGAGGAGAAAACCAGACGTTTTTGTTTAATAGAGGAAGGTTCATTTGGCAGGGCCCTGTGGTGTGCTCCCACAGACTCTAACAGACACCAGAAACCCCTCAGAACGGCTCCTTCTACCCAGGGACAATCGCAAAATGACCTAAAGCCCAGTACTGCTTAATTTCACAAACTGCTGGGATGTATTTCTGGGTATGTACAGCTAGGTACTGATTTCTAAAATTAAAGTCAGACATATTAACTATTATTATGAGATCTTCTGAGAAATTCACCACACTCTTCCAAATAAATCAGGATGTCTTCTTTCTTTCTTTCCGGTGTTCTGAGACAGGATCTTGCTATGAAGCCCTCACTGCCTCCAAAGTCACAGTAATCCTCCTGCCTTAGCCTCCCGAGTGATGGGATTACAGGTGTGTGCCATCATGCCTAGCTTTCAAGACGTCTTATAGGCCGTTGAAAAAACTCAGAAAGCTGGCATCGATCCAAAGGAATTGCCTTTGACATCACTTCAGACACAAGAGAAAATCCACACACATCATAAGCAAGTCCAGAACCTTCAAAGCCATCCTTTCATGTTAAGAGCAAAAAATATTACCCCAGACCTTCCTCCCTCTTTTCTCTATCATAGTTATCTTATGCAGACTTAATTCAGAGATCTGAGAACTCACCCTTGGTCGCAGCTTTGAGGCCTCAGACAAGGTATGTGCGCCCTCATCCCCCACACCTAGTTCAGGTGCTTCACTTATCAACTGGATAATACTCTATCCATCTTACCACACCGACCACTCAAAGGGGAAAGTTACTAAGCAAAGCCCTGCATCACTAATGTTAGGATCCTCTCATGGTTCAGAAAGACTATGTTTCTAGCCACAGTGCCAGTGGTCCGAAGTTCACTGGTCACGGTGCCACTCTCATGGTTTAATTTCATTCTTAGAGTCCTTAACCAAGTCATTAGTGTTCATTGTCTCCAATTAACAAAAAAAGTCATTAATACACTGAGTTTTGAAACTTTTCTTCACTCATCCTCTCCTTTACAACCCATGCACGCCACTATCCATCCTTTAGTGCTGAGAGCCATCTTTTCATCTCAACTTAGAGGGGGGGGGGAAGGCTTTTTCTTAAGTGAATGAAGGAGGGGTGGGGGAAGATTTTTTTCTGAAGTTAATAAACACGGAAGAGGCTCCTAAGCAGGTGGGACTCTCTGCCTCCGACAAATGTTTCTTTTTACTTGGTGACAGGTGGCTGCAAGTTGCCAGAGCCACGGTGAGCTTCCAAGATGGGACCAGTACATATAAACAGACACCGAAAGTAGAACACAGAATCACACAGAAGGGTCAGCTCATCGAAGAGGGAGGATACTGTGGGCGACTAGCACTGCCCTGCTGAGTGTCCAGGGCAGTCTCTGCTCCTGCTCCCAGCACCAGTGACCCCAAGCACTTCATAGCGAAAGACAGCACATTTCACGGCTAGGGCGGTGGAGCAATCTCCTTCTCTTGGGGGGGCACCTAGCAGCCGGGGCTGGTAGTGGGGCGGATGTTGGGGAAGGGGAAGAAGGCAGTCCCCGCGCGCGATCCGGTCGAGCGTGTGACCCGTGGGTGCGCGGCCTGGAAGCTCCAGGGCGAGCACGGCGTAGCGAGCGTGGCGCTGGTGGCGCGGCGCGTGCGAGCTGTTTAGACCGCAGACACCCGGCCACCCATCCCAGCCAGCCCTCGCGGAGGGCAAGGCCGCAACCCGGCCCCGGCCTCAGAAGCACCCCGGCCCCGCCCGCTCGAGCCCTCAGCGACCCGCTTTAGGTCTCAGGACTCTGCCCAGTCACCTACCGGCTGAGCGCCGTTCTCCTCAACCCAGCGAGTGTGGCGCTTCGCTGGCCAGCGATCGCTCGGGGCCCCAGCCGCTCCTCCCCGGCCACGCCCCCATGTCTAGCCCCGCCCAGGGCCACGCCTCTCCCCGTGGCTGCGATTTTGCGAGCTTCCCGCCTCCTTTCTTTGGCCGCACCGCGACCCTTGGTCCCGCCCACTCCCACAAGTAAGCCAATAAGGCGTCTCCTCCCGGCTGGCCTGCCAGCCGCTCTCCAGCAACGATTGGCTATCTCCCAAAATGGATACTATTTCCGGCCAGGGTTGCTAGAGGCGATGGTTGGGTGGGCCGGCGGGCAGTAGGCGGAGGAGGCCAGGGTGTTGGTGGAATTACACATGCGCTCTCGGCTTCTGGCAAATCTTTTTACGGGTTGCATTCTTTTTGAGGTTACGGGAAGGAAGGGCGACTGTACGCATGCGTGGGCCTTCCCAGCTTCGGCTTTGGTTACCTTGGAGATGGCGAGGTGCTCTCTTTCTCCAAGGTCTTGGATTCCTCTTCCTTTGTACTCGAGGGAGTTGTTGCTTTGTGGGATCCCGGTGGGCCTAGAAACACGTTTATGGAGCACTTAGTGTGTGCCTGGTGCTGTAAAGTGTCAGAAGATGAGGTTCCTGGGCTTGCCTTCTAGAAGCATGGGGAGCCAAAGGCCCACGTAAGACAGGCCTAGTGTTGAAACGCAGGTCTAAGGGAGCGTGCAGATGGCACGGTACAATCTCGTTCCACCCCAGGAGAAGCTGCGTGGTGTGAGTGCTGCGCACAGGACCCATCCTACAGAGCCAGAAAGACCTGGTTTGAAAACGTGCCCTTTTGGTGGGGGCAAGAGGGAGTATAGGGAACGTATGGAAGTGTTTTTTTGTTTTTTGTTTTTTCCCCTTTTCTGACTTTGCTAATGGGCTTTCTACTGTACAACAAGCTTCTATTTAGTGGTAATAAAAAAAAAATCGCATTTTGTCTTTTAGAGTTTCCAGAATGAAAGATGTGTTGGGACTCCTCTAGGACTCTTCGAGACTGGCTTGAGAAATAAGGAGCCTCCTGTCTGGAAAGGTTTGAGCCAGGGCCAGGCCACTGTCTGCATGTGACCACTTTGCAGACCTACTTCTTTCTGGAGATGTGTCCAAGCAGACATCTATTGTTGGACACCAGGAAAGGCCATTCATTTGACAGTGTGGAAATCCCACAATCTGGCCTGCATCCAGGAGGCTGAGGCAGGAGGATGACAGGTTTGAGACCAGCCTGGGCTCTGCAGCCAGACTTCTGTATGAAAACAAAACAGCCTACAACCCAAGAGGCTCACTCCCCCCCACACACTCCACCCCAACCCCCACCCCCACCCCGGGGCCAGAAAATGTTAGAGCAAAGTCTGCAGTTGCCCTAGCCCTAGCCCATGTTGTCCTTATTCTCAACCATGGCAAGTGTTGCCCCTCGAAGCATTTCCGGCTGTGACTTCCATGAAGCCTATACTTCAGAGTCAAGACAGTCTCTGGGACCTATCTTGGCCCTGCCAGTGACCAGCTGAGAGATGGTAAGGCAAGAAAAAAGCTGGACTGGAGACTTCTGAAAGCTCCTGCCGTCTCCAGGGTTGGGCATTTCAGTGACTCAGAGAGAGCAAAGCCGGGCCAGATGTACAGGTTGGTATCAGGTCTTGGGTGTCTGTCTTTTCCCGCCCACCACCTGTTTGCCTCTGGGCAAAGCACTTCTCAGGAAAGCTGTGGGCAGCAGGCCCAGATTCTGGAGTGGCTTCCTGCAGGGCTGGCTCACTTTTCCATCTCCCCTCACCTTTCCTTCCTTAGGACAGCCAGTGTTTCTGTGGTCCTGGTTCCCTCCCAGGCGTTGCCTCCTCCATCAAGATGATTGGTCTTTAAACCTGCACTCCAGTACTAGGGTGTATTAGTGACTCAAAGCTCCACAGAAGGTCAGCTTGCAGGGGAGAACACACCACTAGACTCATTAGCAAGGAAAGTGCTAGGGAAAAGCAGGGCTTCTCAGTCTCCACTGCTTTTCTCCTGTCTCTTCCCCTAGTGTGTGAGGAGAGACGCAAATGCCCCTCAGCCCTCTCCCAGTGGCCGCTGGGGTGCCTCTGAATCTTGAAATACCTACCCCCTAGGAGAGATTCAGGCAAAAGCGACTTCCTCCTGCTAGTCATGATGGTCTGGGCAGGCTTCTAGCCCTGAGTCACTAGTGTGCAGCTTCAGCCGGGCTTTAAATAAAATAATTGACATTTACAGGGTGACTCACACCTGGGGCAGTGTTGGGCTCAGTCCTCGGGGTTTCACATCCCATCTATTTCAGGTTTGGAGACACAAGGGTAAGACTGTGCCAGGCTGAGGGCAAAGTAGGGTCTGTTTGGTTTTCAGATCGGAGGGTCCAAACCCAGGGCCTTGCATATCCTGGGCGAGCACTCTACCACGGAGCTCCATTCCTGGTCCCTGTTCTTTCCTTCTTTCTCCACCCCCCAGGTAAGGTCTCTGTGACCTGTAACTCATTACTGAGCCCCTGCTGGTCTCAAACTTCTTCATGCTTTCACCTCCCCATATTGGGGTTACAGGCATTGGCTACTATTCCTAGCTCAGCCTCTGCGTTGTTCGTTTACATTTCTCTTTCTTTAAAAAAACATTCTTAAAGTTAGCATGCAAAGGAATGGATTCCGTCATAGCATTTCCACATGTATGTGACATTGTACTTGGCTCTCACTTGATCAGCTTCTGGCTTTGATTAAGATCATAAACCAGCTAAGTATAGTGGCATATGGCTGAAATCCCAGCACTGGGGACTGGAAGCAGGAGGATTAGGAGTTCAATGCCATCTTCACCTCCAGAGCGTGTTTGAGGCCAGCCTGGGCTACATAAGACCCTGTCTTCGGTCCACTACATGTGCTGTGTGCAGAACCTCACTGGATAACCTCAGTCTTGACGGTTTTGTATTGGATAATTCATTGTCACCGATCAGGCAGCCCTGCCACCTTGTTACTGCAGGATAATTAAGAGCGTGCCTGACAGAGTCTGCTAGGTTAGGAAAACATGCTCCCATACCTAGTGTGACAGCAAAAAGTTCTCTTGATGTTACTAACGGTCCTCAGGAGAAGCGGGTGTCCCTGCTTGAGAACCCCTGTCCTGTTATTACTGTCCCTCGTCCTATGGCTGAGCAAACTGAAGCCTGGGGAGAAGTGACCTGCCCAGGGTCACTTTGCTGTACCAGACGAGCCAGGATCCAGACAACACAGTGTGTAACACCCCCTGCAGGCAGGACTTCATAGAGACTTTGGGGTTCAAGGAGCAACTGCCCCCCCTCAGTTCTGTGGAATTGGGTGCAGTGGTGAGCCAATGCCGTCTTTGGGTCATTTGTCCTCCTTTTCTGTTTGCCCTGGAGAAGGGAAATTCTGCTGGCCTTGGCACGTTTACGGTATGAGGCCATGTCTAGTGAGCAAGTGTTGGGCAAATTGTCTGATGCCTGTGGGTCTTGGGCCCACATTCCTGTGAAATCTTGAGTCCAGGTGAAGGTTGCTGTGAGGACGGCTTGAGAGAGGCCCTAGGCCTAGGGGCAGACATTCCCGGAGGAGAAGGTATGCCTCCTCCCACTGGGGACCTGCCTGTGCCGCAGCCATGAGGTTTTTGCTGGTCCCCAGTTTGGACCTGCCCCATCCCTGCCTTCAGCCCAGACATCTAGGTGGGGGATGGGGAAGCAGCAGAGGAAACAGATACATAGATACAGTCCCTGTTCTTTCCCACTGTGACCTCAGGTTGGTCACATGAAGCTTAAAGTGGGACTATTTACACCATAGAAATTGGCAAATAGCATAAACCTGAGCGCGCGCGCGCGCACACACACACACACACACACACACACATCCAAACTAGTTGTTAAACTTTCCCCAGCACACTGCTGCCTGCTGCTGCTGGTCTCTGCCAGCTGGACCATCTCATCACATACTGGGTGAGGGAAGGGGCGCCGTAAACTACAGAACTGGCAGGGGAGAGAAGTGTTAAGATGAGAGGGAGAAAAGGTTGGAGTTGGCAAAGGTTGGAGCTGTATGCATGGGTGTCTCCGACAGGCACTGGACGTTCCCTTACCAAGATCAGGCCTGGACATACCTTCCTGAGACCCCTCCCTGACTCTGGTGCCATTATAGGGATCCCTGGCTTGACTGGCATTCTTCTCAGTTCTTGATTGATTTTCCCCTTCTAACTCACCTCTGCCTCCAGTTCCCATAGCATCTGAAGAGGTGACCCGGCAGGTAGAGTGTTTGCCTAGCAGACATGGAGCCGTGGGCTCAGTCCCCAGCACCAGGCCATATAAACCAGGAATGATGGCATGGCCTGCAATCCCAGCACTCGGAAAGTAGAGGCAAGAAGATCAGAAGTTCAAGGTCATCCTTGGCTATATAGGAAGTTCAAGGCCAGCCTGGGCTACATGAGATGCTGTTTCAAAAACAAAAACAAAAACAAAAAACAAAAAAAAACCAAACAAAACAAAAACAAAAAACCAAAACAAACAAACAAACAAACAAACAAAAAACGGGCTGGAGAGAGATGGCTCACTGGTTAAGAATATTGACTGCTCTTCTAGAGGACCCAGGTTCAATTCCCAGCACCCACATAGCAGCTCACTCCTGTCTGTAACTCCAGTTCCAGAGGACTCAATACTCATGGCAAAATTCCAATGCACATAAAATAAAAATAAATCTGTTGTATTATTTAAAAAAAACAGTCCATACCATCCCTGACCCTTCTGGTGGCTTTAATTCTCAAGTGAAGCCACTTAGGTCATACCATTCCACAGCCAATGCCCCAGCATCTCCTGCCATAAAACATCTTGCTCCTTTCAACCCATGAATGCGACCAAGCTCCTAGCCTAAAAATAACCAACCAACAAAACAACACCTTCCCCATCCTGGCTTTCGGGTACACTGTTTCCCGGTGTCTTCCATTTGCATGTACTCCTCACAGTATGGTTTCTGCCCGCCTCCCGCCTCCCCTTCTCTCTGTGACCACACACTGACTTGGCTCCTGCTAAATGCCTCTTCTCAGTTCCTGTCTCCTTGTGCTGCACAGTGTGATGTGCTGAGCACTGACAGGCCAGGCTGGGAGATGAGCGCTGAGTCTCTAGCTCGGTCCCTGCCCTCGAGGTTTTTTTTTTTTTTTGCTCTAGTGATTGACAGAATCTAAATCACTTCAGATGAGAACTTGAGTCATCCCCGGTAGTGGGTGGATGATGATGGAGGGATGGAGGGTACTGTTATCAGGCAGGACCCAGCCAGGTGAGCGAGCAGACCCATTCTAAGTTCCAACAGTATTTCAGGGAGGAATAACTCACACAGAAGGATTGGCAACGGCCCACAGAAGACGACTGTGACCAGGAATCCACTCCTGCCCCCTGGTGGGAAGGCCAGACAGGGCAGGGCAGTCAGAGGCTGGGTCACTGGGAGAAGACTGGAACCACATGGCAGACACACCCACTTCCACAGCTCCCACTCAAGATGAAGAGGGATGAAGGGAAAGCCTGGATTCTCCTTGTCTTCCACCGTCTAGTTTTCTGCCAGAGCCTCTGGCTGGCCAGTGAGCTTGCAGGGCTCAGTTAGCTGCAGAGAAAGTGAGGACGGACAGCAGGACACAGAGCTTAGGTGTGGGGGTGATAGGGACTAGTTCTCAGAAGGGGCTCATGGAGACTGTCCTGGAGGTCCAAGTGTGACCTGAAAGGGAGTTACAGGGTACACACTCCTGACAATCGGTGACACTTGGGTCCTTTTGTGCTGTCTGTCTCCTCTTTGCCCTCCTTTTTTTTTTTATACTTTATGTGCATTGGTGTTTTGCTTGCGTCTATGTCTATGTGAAGATGTCAGATCCCCGGGAATTGAACCTGGGTCCTCTGGAAGAGCAGCCAGTGATGTTAACAGCTGAGCTACCTCTCCAGCCCCCTCGCCCTCCTTCTTTTGAAACAGGGTCTCACTGTGTAGACCAGGTTGGCCCTGAATTCACAGGGATCCACCTGCCTCCTCCTGGGTGCTGGGATTAATGGTATGTGTCACCATGATGAACTCATTCCTATTCTTTTTAAAAGACAGGGTCTCTGTAGCCAAGGTTGAAGGTGCTCCTGAACTTCTGACTGTCTGCTGTGTTTGGGTCAGGGCTTCATGGATGCTAAGCAAGCATTCTACCAACTGAACACTCCCCGAGTTTTAGTTTCGGACCCCTAGCTTTTCTACATTCTTTCCCTTGTTCTCATCAATTCCTGGCTTCACTAAATCATTCAGCAAACATTAATTGAGCACATAGTTTACAGCTGGCCCTTGACTAAGTCCTTGGTGATAGCAATGAATGAGGCAAGAGTCCGCCATTCATAGGGGATCAGCAACACAATGTAAAGGGCAGAGAAGCTACTGGGTGACGGAAGGTCATGGAGGAGAGATCAAAGAAGGCTTCCTGGAAGGGGTGCCTCTTAAACTGACTGCTGCCAGGCCAGGTGCATTGAGAGAAGGCCAAAGTAACAGGAGAGCAGGAAGGGCCTGTGAAGGCAATGGAGATAGAGGGAAGGAGTCAGCCCATCTGGGCTTGGATGTCAGCTGTGAGGGACAGGGAGAGAAATGTAACTGACGCTGAAGTCTGTGAGCTGGACTAGGGAAGGCAATGAAGAGCGGAAGCCGCAGACAGCGCTGAGGAAAAGACAGTTAAATCGCTAGCATGGAACCTCAGTTCAGTTTCTCTTTCCAAACAGGCACTTACAGAGCAGGAGGCCAGCTTGGCTGCAAGTCAGGTTGGATGTGATGGAGCTGGACGAGGGCAGTGGCAGAAGATGAAGATCTGGGACAGATTAGCCACACGGAGAGATTCAGTAGAGAAGCTATGGAGAGCATTCAGAATGTGAGTAGGGATGGAGGGCATGTCTAGGATGTGGGGGCCATGTGAACAGGGGTGGAGGGCACATCTGGGATGATGGGGCCATGTGAACAGGGATGGAGGGCATGTCTGGGATGATGGGGCCATGTGAACAGGGGTGGAGGGCACGTCTAGGATGCTGTGTCTTAATCATGAGCCATAGGGGAGCAGATTCTGCAGAGGATTCTGTTGACTTTGGATGAGGAATTTCAGTTTCTGCTCCTTCTATTGTCTTCTCTTAGCCGTTGACTTCTAAATTGACACTTTCAGGTGTGACCTGCGCCCTGAATTCCAAACTAGAATTGCCACTGACCCAGAGCATGTTTCTTCCCTTTCGCCCCCTGGCAGCTCCATCTCTACTTTGCTCTATGTCAGTGACATCACTGCTAGCGCCCCACCCCAAATCTTCGTTACCGATTTTGGTGCCAAGTCACACTGACTTGTTCTTCAAGCAGTTCCCTTATCGCGTGGAACCTCCCTGTCTCTCCTCTCCTCATCCTTTTCTGTGTCAATCCTTTCTTTTCACTTTTTGTTTGTTTCTGTTTGTTTGTTTGTTTGTTTGACCCTGTTTCACTATGTAGCTCTGGCTGTCTTGGGATCCACTATGTAGAACCAGGCTGGCCTTGAACTCACAGAGGTTTGCCTCCCTCTGTCCCCCCAGTGCTGAGATTAAAGGGGTGCACCATTATGCTGGGTGGATCCCTTCCACATTGTTACTCTCTCACTCAAAAAAATGTTAATGGTTTCCCACTGCCTGCTGATTTCATTCCAGCTTAGGCTAGTGTTAGCTTGAAGTGTCATTTGCTGGTGAGGTTTCACTTTCTTCTTTGGTTATGCTCAGAATTCCTGTTTAATTATAGTGATGACCTGTTTGGTTTGAAGGTCTTTGTCTCCCTTGCAGCCAGAATGACTGTTACCCAAGTCCTGGCCAGGGAGATAGATAGACCCAGAAGTCTTTGGTTACAGGGACCAACTCAGCTAGCAATAGCCTTTTGTCTTTTGTCTTTCCCCCCACTCTCTTTCTTCTTTCTAGGATGTAGACTCAGAGTTGTTAGCATGGAAGCATAGGAATAAAAGTCAGCTTAAGGGTGAACTCCTCCGTCTGAGGGTTGGAGGAGGCCTAGGTTCTATCCCCAGCACAGAGTGGATTAGATGTGGGTGATGTGGCTGTCATCTTCAAACTCTGGAGGAAAAGGCAGGATGAGCAGAAGTTTAAGGTCATCCTTGACTACATAGCAAGTTCAAGGCCAGCATCAGCTACATAAGACCTTGTTTAAAAAACAGGAACACCTTTTTGTAGAGCTGCCAGCCTAAGTCGTGCTGGGGTCAAGAAAAATGGGCCTTGGTGGTTCATGTTCCTGGAGTTGTATCCATGCCAGTGGATGTCCACACGCTCCAGAAGAGAATTTGACATTGCTGCTGCCATTGTTGCTGTTATAGCAATGGCACACACCGCCGCTACTGTTTCTGGGATTACCATTTCATAATTGCTTACTACAGCTAGCACAGTGGAGACCCTGGCAGCAAAAGTAGCTACCATAGTTAGTTAATCTTTCATTTTATTGGGCATGATAAATTTAATTCAATAGTTATATACATTTCGATTGGCTTTGAAAATTATAAATTTATAAACTCAAGTTCCATTGGCTTTTGGGATACCATCTTACAAGGACTCCAATTTGCAGTAAGGCTCGTTAAGGAAGGGAATGGCTGAGTTGCCTTTAGCCTACTGCCTATGGGTGGGATAGGACCTCTGTTGGTCTTTTCTGTGTTGAACACACAGATTGCAAGCCCAGTGCCACTTTGAGATCTTTGGCAGCAGTTAACTCTGCAGCTCACACACGATTGAGCCTGTATGATGAGTATTTAGAGATGGGTAATGCCTGGGGGCGCTCACCAACCTAAGACAGAGTCCTGTGTGGCCTGGGCAGGCATCTCCATGATGGGTAAGGTGAGCTGCTGACGTCCCTAAGCAACCTAAGTCAGAAGCTCATTTTTTAGTAAAAGGGGGACCTATAGGGTCCTGGCCTCCATTTTGGGTAACTGTTGCTTTGTTTGCTGACCTTGGCCTTGATATCCTCCCAATGCTAATTCCCTGCCAGTTTCCACCCCCCTGAGTGCTTAAGGGAAGTTCCTTGTCTGTATATCCTGCATAATGGGTGTTAACAGCTTAGATGCAAGATTGTAAAACATTGGTATAGAACTTCTGCCCTCTGGGTTTCTCCCATTGTTCTGTAAGCCTGTATTTAAGACCTCTTCCCTCCTTCAATAAACAGCATTCGGCATTAAAAAAATAAATAAATAAGGAAAAAAATCTCAAAAAAAAAAAAAAAAAAACAGGAACACCGAGGTTCGAGAAGTGGTGTGGAAAGAGCATTTCCCACTCTTCTGGAGGACTCAGTTCCCAGCACCCACGTCAGGTGGCTCACAACTGTCTGCAACTGCAGATCCAGGGGATCAGATGCCCTCTTCTGGCCTCCATGGGTACCTACATGTATGTGTATATGCCCTCGCATAGACACACATATAGACGTAATTAAAATATAAGTGCAAAACCGAACAACAGGGACTGGGCAAACGACTCGGTAAAATTCTTGCCACACAAATGAGAACCTGAGTTCAGGTTTCCAGCACCCACACAAAAGGCTGGGCACGGTGGGGCAGGTCCAGAACCCTAGTACTGGGAAGGCAGAGACAGGTGGATCCCGAGGGCTTGCTAGCCAGGCAGTCTAACTGAATTAGCAAGCTCCAGGGGCAAGGAGAGATCGTGTCTTAAAAGGTAAGGTGGGGTGCAATAGAGAAAGACACCTGTCATTGAACTCTGGCCTCTGCACACACACACCACGTCCACACTCTCACACACACACATACACACACCGGGCAGGGGAGAGAAAGGAGGGCACATGTGAACACACACATGCACACACGGCATACAACAACAATTGACAAAACTCTACATCTGTGATTGCAGAGAAAAAAAAAAAACACTTGTAGCTAGAGTTTTCCTGCCTTGCCCACAGTCAGGACAAATCTTTGTCACCCGCCAGTCCCACAGCCGCTCAGACCCAACCAAACAAACACAGAGACTTATATTGCTTTACAAACTGTATGGCCGTGGCAGGCTTCTTGCTAACTGTTCTTATAGCTCAAATTAATCCATTTCCATAAATCTATACCTTGCCACGTGGCTCGTGGCTTACCGGCATCTTCACATTCTGCTTGTCCTGGCGGCGGCTGGCAGTGACTCCTTCTGCCTTCCTGTTCTTTCATTTCTCCTCTCTGTTAGTCCTGCCTATACTTCCTGCCTAGCCACTGGCCAGTCAGTCTGTTTTATTTATTGACCAATCAGAGTAATTTGACATACAGACCATCCCACAGCACAGCCAAGTGCAGACCATCTCAGACACCTGCACTCAGGCCCATGGTCCTAATCATCCTCTATGTGGACCTGCTGGGTAAAGCCACGAGGAACCCGAGAACGGGCTCCCACAGGACATATGGAACATCCCACAGGACATACGGAACATCCCACAGGACATACGGAACATCCCACAGCACACACTGGAGGGAGAGCTCCTGAAGAGCTGCAGCTAATTTGATTCTGGAGTGTTAGACCTAGCTTTTTTTTTTTTTTTTTTTTTTTTTTTTTTTTTTTAAATTTTTTTTGGAAACAGGATTTCTCTGTGTAGTTTTGGAGCCTGTCCTGGAATGCAATCTGTAGACCAGACTGGCCTTGAACTCACAGAGATCTGCCTGCCTCAGCCTCCTGTGTGCTGGGATTAAACGTGTGGGCTACCACTGCTCAGCAGCACCTAGCTTTTTTCTGCCTTTTGTGACTGCTACCTTTTGTCTCTGGGCACCTTCAGTTTGAAACATGTAAATCTTAAGAGTTTCCTAAAGGTGCAAAACTTATGCAGAACTTGGTTGGGGGAGGACTCGGCAAACCGAGAGGTCTCCTAACTGAGACTCTGCACTGGCATTGTCTCTTTGGGGGGCTTAGATAAGAGGTGTTGGTATATGGAAATTGACTTGCTAAAGGTGTGAACTGTGTAACAATAAAAGGCCCTTTGCTAAGCTACTGTACGTCAGTCCACCAGAGGCTGATTCCCCTGCAGCGGGAAAAGGCTAAAATTCATCCTTAGAGTGCCTCTGTGTCTTCTTTCCACGAACCCGCGTGAACCCACACCTCATACAACATTTGGTGTCCAACCGACAGTGCCGCTCCTGTTTGCTGGGAAAGGAACCTCCCCTGGGAAAGCTTTGGAAAGGGATGGATGACTTATAAGCTGAAGCACATACCAGGGATGCCAGTCAAAGATTGCGTGACTCTGCTAAGGGCCGATTGGGACGAGATATGTTTTACTCAGGTAAGATAAAGGATGCTCAGATTAGATGGAGGGGAAATCCAGGTGTTTGAATCAATGCAGCCTCTAGTCTGTGGGAACGAGAGTGTTCCCAATAACTAGTGACATGGTGACAGGTCTTCCCCATAAGAGGGGTACAGGGTTCCCCTTGTGGTATACTAAATGGTGTGTGGCAGGCACAGATCTAAGTCACAGTGGTCTCATACAAAGCTAATTCTCTTTCCAATTCTTAGTGTTCTCTCTCTCTCTCTCTCTCTCTCTCTCTCTCTCCTCTCTCTCTCTCTCTCTCTCTCTCATTCTTGACTTTTCTCGTCTATTGAACAGTTGGTGTAAGTGATTGTGCACATTGCCGAAGAATGAGCTTGTGTTCCCCTCCCCCTGCCCCCGTCCCCCGCCCTGTCCCTGGTCCCTGGTGTTCTCTGTTGAAGAAACCATTCTTACCTGCTTCTTTTCATTTTTCCCAATATATTTTATGCATCTACAAACATACAACATGCATTCGTAAGACACCCCCCTTTATGTTTATTTATTGTGTGTGAGTGTGACCTGCCACAGCATAGTGCGAAGGTCAGAAAACAACTTTTGAGAGTTTGTTCTCTCTGGGGGATCAAACTCAGGATGTCAGGCAAGCACTCTTCCCCACTCAGCTATCTCGTCAGAGCTTTGTAAAGCACTTTTTAAACTCCAATGAAAGTGGGGCTGGCCACATGGATTGGTGGCCAAAAGCACCTGCCACCAAGCCTGACTACCCGAGTTCAATCCCTGGGACTCACATGTGGGAAGGAGAGAACCAACTCCCAAAAGATGTCCTCTGACCGTCACACCCATGCCCAAGCAATACACAAACACAAAATAAATAAAATGCAAAAATGCAAATTAATAGAAGTGCGCTCTACACAGCTGCTCTACGCCTTGCATACTTCACTAACATGTCAGTGAGTTCTGCATACACACAGAACTGTCACAGGCTGCATACTCTTCCATTGCATGACTGAAATAGAATTTATTCGGTTCCCTCTTAACAGACTTAACAATGTCCAAGCATTTCCTAGTATAAGAACTGTTCCAGGGAACCTACAGCGCTTTCATTTTACGTATTAATTAATCAACAAATGTTTTGTTTTTGTTTTTGTTTTTGTTTTT